TGTTTCTCGGTATAAAGAGGATTTCCGATTGCATCGCGGCATATCGTGTTTTTTAACAGTTTAAAAATTGCATCATGGCATATCATGAATTTTTGTTTGTTTTCCGACATAAAGTGGATTTCCAATTGCATTGTGGTATGTCACGGTTTTTAGCAGTTAAAAATTGCATCATGGCATATCATGACTTTTTGCTGATTTCTTGACATACAGTGGATTTTCCATCTTGCGTTACTATTTAACTTATTTTTATCATGTCATAAAATGATTTTCATCACTTTTCAGATAGAAAATATATTTCCTAATTTGCACTGCGGCTTATCGCACTTTACTATGTTAGTCTTTGATGTGTTTGACATGCGCCGAACCCTTCTTCCTAAGGGTACACCATTCCTCAGGAATTTGCCCATCACGCAACAATAAAATTGGCTTGAACTAGATAAAACGATGTTGCACGGGAACTCCGCTTCCTCATCTTTCCATTCGCTTTAATCTTCCTTCTTCGTCTCGCCCCTCTTCTAAGCCGGTCCTTCGCAAAAATCTCTCTGTACTTCTTTTTATCTTTGTTGTTTTGTAGTCTCATATCTCACAACAAAGAGGAGCAGCTATCAACACCCGATTTTTTATTGGTCCTTTACCTAAACCTCTAACTTACCCCAAACACCTTATCAGACCCTGCCGATCCCTCCGAAACACCCAAAAATCCTAACTTTCATCTCTAGAGCCCTCAGAACTACCATTAAACTTGCCCAATACCTATTCGATGGCTTTGATCGACCCCCACATACACCTCAACCACCAAATAAGACACAACCATAAGTTCTCGGATACCCCCAAATACCACCTGTGAAATCTCAGCCCAAAATACCTCTGTTTACCCTTCAATCGCACCAAGATTTCGTTTTAAGGTCCCAGATTCATAGAATTGAGCTCTTTCCAGATCTACCCGATCCGGTCCAGTTGGCCCAATATGACCTTACCACTCATCTTAGAATGTCCAAAGAACCTAAATCTCAATTCCCAAATCCTCAAAACTCCTTATAGATCTCATCTTATACCCTTGACCAAATTACCAAAATACCCTTTAAACCAAATTCCCAAGATATCCCATTCCAAATTACCAAAATACCCTTCGAACAGATCCCTGTAACACTCTTTTCTTCCAAATTACCCTTTTGACCAATTCCCAAAATTACCCTTAGCTTAATTTCCAAAATTGCCCCTCCTTCCAAAATTCCCCTAAATTTCCAAAATACCCTTTAACCAAAATTACCAAAATGCCCTTGACCAAAGTTACACAAATTACCCCTTGTTGACCAACACCCAAGCTACCCCTAACCCAATTCCCAAAATACCCTCTCCCCTAAAATTACCAAAATATCCCTTCCCTTAAATTCCCAAATTACCCCAAGTTTCCAAAAATACCAAGTTACCCTTCTTTCCCCAATTTACCCCTTGAAGACACCAACCTAGTGAGATACCTCCCCCCAAATCCTAGCCTACCCACCTTAAACCCCCTTCCTCTCGGTTTTCGTTTAGAAGCCCCCTTCCTTAGGGGAGGCATTTTCCCAATCAGAGGTAGAAGCAAAGAGGTTGGAATGGGGGTTTACTGGCTCTCGACATTTTCCTTTGGGGAAGTATGAGAGCCACTGAATGGAGAGTTGAGAGGGAGTTCTGAAAGAAGAAGAGAGAGAGAGAGAGAGTCCATGAGAGAGAAAGGGAGAAGAAAATAGAGAGGGTTGGGAAGAGGTCTTGAGAGAGGAGAGAAGATTGTGAGAGAAAGCTGAGAGAGGAGAAAACAGTCGAAGATCCTGTCTCAGTCCTCGTCAAATTCGAAGAGAAAATTTGCTTCCATCACAGCCCAGGTAGAGTTTCCATCGCTGAAGGAGCTTCATCGAGAGGTTGAGCTTTCCCTTCCCTTGCATCATCGTTTCTCATTTCACGCCACAAGAGGTATATTTTGATTACCTCATATCTCCTTTTAGGGTAACAACTGTAGTTGTAGTTGCTGTTTTTGTAATAGATGTTCTTGCTTTTGCTTTTTGGCTCGTTTTTATTTTTTATTTTTGCTTTGAGGCTTGGGGGTTCTCTAGAGTTTGGGAGCTTTATGCTTCCTATCTTTTTCATACCATTCAACTGAGTTCGGAGGTGGGGGCTCTGATAGAAACGGGTGAGGAAGCAGTTTCTCATCCTTTTTCTTAGACCCCTGTGCCCAAAAGGGGATTGGTCTGGGAATGTAGAAGGGAGCATTCCTTCGAGCTATTAGAAGATTCGAGTCTCCAATTTATCTTCTACACAAGTTGGGATAATGGTGTTCACGCTGACCAGAGAGAGGGGTACCTAACTCCTTCCCTCTCTCTTTCTCATCTTACCTAGGTTTGTCTACCTTGTCTGCGTCGAATGATAGGGAGTTGCCATTAAATTCAAATTTATTTCTGAAATCCAATTCTGGGAGACCCATCACTCCCAGTTATGTGTTTATGATGGGTGGCGACTCCTTACATTTGGTCAACCGTTGGAGCCGGTTTTTTCTGACGTTTACAGACAGATATTGAAAATTAATATATGAATTTGAATCCGATTAAATATTCGATTATATTCGAATTCGATTAATTAATTATTTTAGATAATTAATAAATATATAAAATAAATATTTTATTGATATAAAATATATAAATATATAAATTATTTATCTAACTTAATTATTATATATAAATTATATAAAATATTTTATATATTATATATAAGAATTAAATAATCGGTCGAATTCTAATATTTATCAAACCGAATCAGGTCTTATCCGAATTCAAATCTAATTAACTATTCGGTATGAATAGGATATCCGAATTCGGCCGATTAGATATTCGAATTGTCCAAATTCGATTTGATTATGTCAAATATTGAATTCAAAATTAGATTTTCGAATACCGTTTACACCCCTACTCATGACCCATGTTTAAAGATATATGATATGACCCACCATGGAATGGATGTTTAATGGGTCAATTAATGAAAGTCTTGTCCAAATAATGTGTCAACTGAATCCTATTTTGTCATTCCATTATGTTTAGTGTCATGGTGTTGGTGTTATTGTTAGATTGTCTACTCAAAATATTTCAACATTTTTAGTGTAAAAATAATATTTGAACTAATAATATGGTCAATTATTATTATTATTACTATTACTCTTACTACTGAAGTTTTACCAAATCTGGTGTATATCTTCCACATTTTGAGTCAGTTTGGGAAGGTAGCAACTTGAAAGTATAAATATGCTCAGTTCAAAACCTTGTATATGGTATTTCTAAATCTTGTATTTGTATTTTTTTTTTAAATTGAGCTTTCTTTTTTATATTTTCACACGGAGGGAGACATGGATTTTCTTTCTGTTTTTTTTGGTGAGGGGAGTTAAACAAGAAAATAAAAATAGGGAGTATAAGAGGTAGGGTTTCAAGAGAAATGGAACAGGAAGGTTTGAGTCTATTATAAATGTTTTTAAAGGAAAAATAAACAAAAAAATCTTTTAAATTTGGGAGTTGAGGAGCATTAGAGTAGCTCAAGTTCGGTTTCCTATGTTGAGACATACCATTTTTTTTTGGGTATTATGTTGTTTTTAATCTAATCGAATGTTGGATTTGGCTGCAGAATTTTGGACATCATTGATAGGCTAGGCTACCTAAATGGCTAAATCTCCAACTTGGATCCAGTTGGCAACCTAAGACAAACATCAACTAAATCCATTATAACTCAGTTGGGATTTGGCCTATGGGCTCAAGCAAGTTGGTTGAATTTATATTTGCTCATATTTTTCATTTCCACTTCTTATTTGAGTTTTACAGTCCAACTTAATATAAAATAAAATGTCATTTACTAAAACATCTATATTTTCTTGTATTTATTAATATCTATTCTATAGTTTGTGTTTTATTAAAACATTCAATAATATCTGATTTTTGCTTGATTCGCTGTTTGAATCCCAAATTCACCCTAAACACTAGATCAGACCTTTTTGATCTCTCTCAAACATAAAAAATCCCAATTAACCCTCACTCACCCTCTCCATCATATTGCGATTCCATTTCTAACTTTCTCCTTGACCTCAATTCCCCCTTCAGATCAAATTTCCATATTACCCTTCACATTAAGTTACAAAAATACCCTTCAAACCAAATTACCGAAATACCCCCAAAACAAATTCTCAAAATCCTCTTTAGATCAAATTCCCAAAATACCCTTCAAAACAAATTCCCGAAACCTCCTTCATAGCAAATTCCCAAAATACCTTTCACACCAAATTGCCTAAATACCCAAAATACTCTTCAGACCAAATTACCAAAATGCCCTCCAAAACAAATTCCTGAAATACCTTCATACCAAAGTACCAAAATACTCTTTAGAATGAATTCCCAAAATACCCTTCAAATCAAATTCCAAAAATCCCCTTCAAATCAAATTCCCAAAATACCCTTCACACCAGATTACCAAAATACCCTTCAAATAAAATTCCCAAAATACCCTCCATATTTTCTAAAATATCCCTCATCTTAATTACCACAGGTACCACTCTTTTCAAAAAATACCCCTTAACAAAATGACCAAAATATCCTTCATGCTTATTTTCACAAATATTCTTCATTCCCCAAATTCTCTATTCATAGAGCTCTCGGACAGGAAGGATTTTTCAAAGAGTTCTATTCTATCGAGCTAAAACAGGGGAGCGAAGAGGTGTAGAAGTCTCGAGAGAAATTGAAAACAAGAGAGGAAAAGTGGAGAAAGGGTTTCGAACCGAGAGAGAGAGAGAGAGTGAGAGAAAAAGATCAGAGAGACAAAGGGGGGAGAAGATTTCTGTTCCTTCCATTCTTGCTACCGAATACATTGGCCGTCTCTGCCATCACCGCCGTCGATGTCCTATTGCCATTCGGATTCGAGTGCCGCTGCTAGTACCCTCGATCTGCCCCTTTGTCACAGCTAAGCTAAAGTTTCCACAGCACCAAAGATCCCAGTTTCATCAAGTTATTCAAACCTTCGCATTCGAGTTCGCTAGTTCTGCAGGTTCTTACAGCAGCATCGTTAGTTTGAAGGTTACAGGAGGTAAAGCCAACTACCTCATCTTCTATACCTCTGTTCGAAGTTGATTTAACAATTCAGAAGTAGCTCTTTTATTTATTTATTTGTTTGTTTGTTTCTTGTAGTTGATTATTGCTGGTTCAATCTCTTATTTTTGTTTGGCATTTGAATTCGAGCACGAGAACGGTTGTGTTCTCTGGCATTAGAGGGGCTAGCATGCTTCCTTGCTCTTCAGGCCAGCCAATTGAGTCCGAAGGTGGGGTTCTAATAGAAAAGGGGTGAGAGAGCAATTTCTCACCCTTTTGTGTAGGCCCTGCGTCCAAAAAAAGTGGTTGATCTCGAAGGGAAGAAAGAAACATCTATGTACTTTAGAGCTGCCGAAGGAACTGGGTTCCCGATTCCAATCTAAATAAGGAAGGGAATTCGGTTTTCACACTGACCAAAGAGGGGTGCCTAACTCCTTCCCTCTCTCTTGACTTGTCCAGACTAGCCTTGTCCACGCAGAGAAGCATGGAGTCACCAACCTTCAACTAATTTTGATAAGTGCAAATCCCAGAGGGCATCACTCCCTGTTACGTATTTTGATGGGTGGCGACTCCATATGTTTGGCCATGAATTTGACAGCTGTTTTTTCTGATGTTCACAACAATTTTAATCTTAACATTTGTATAAACAAATTTAATCAGTAGAAAATAAAAATGAAAATGTCATTTTTCCCCTATAAAACATGGGCACATTCTCTTACCAAATCAACAAAATGATATATAATAGACAGCACAAGTTAGGGTATATGTAACTTGTAAACATGGATCACACGAAGGAGAAAATCACCATCAAATTTTGTTTTATTAGAACTAAAAAGGAGAAAATCACCATAATTGTTACCTCTTCTCATCTTAAGTTAGGGTAGACGTTATTTACACTTCAAATTTATTATTATCAAACAAAATATGTAGCTTAAAAAATGACACCTACTTGAAATGTGAAGACTGGATCACATGCACTTAACATCTTCTCTAACCAAGTTCTATTATAAGGGGAGGGCTTTCTTTTTTGGAAGCTTGATATAAAGTGCTCGGGGTATTTTTGGAATAAACAATCATGGGTCCATGCCCTTAAACATTTTCCACTTGGTTTAGGTGGTCATGTGACCATTTTCTGATGGTAATATAAGCAATTATTAAAAGAAGGTCAACTAAAGAAATCCCTAAACTATAGGGGTGTTTTAATAAAACTCAAACTTTAAGGTAGGTTTTTATAAATAGACGAAACTAGAGGGGTGTCCTTCTTATATGCAGCTATGCATAGTTGTATACGAAATACAATGCACTAGTATTGGGCCCCCAACAACTTTCGTGGACAGTTAATGGGTCACCATTGGGCTCGACCCAACCGTGAAAACATATGTTAACGCTGTCACACACATACATGACATTAGGATAGAGCAAGTATGATGGTAAGACATTTATCAAAAAAAAGTACGATAGTAGGACTTGTGTTCGTAGGGTCTTAGCTGATTTCCGCAAGTCAATCTCAGAGTGAGAAAATTGTAGCTGAATAGTCAGTTCCTTTGTGTTTCAACCTAGAATGTTTTTTGCATCCTTCTTGGGTTCTACGATTTGTTTTTTTTTTTTTTTTTTCGAACTTCGTTGGGTGTGTTTTCCACTACCAATTTGAAAAAAGAGAGAAGTTGGGGCAAAATTGGCAAATTTTGTTTTGGTTCCAGAAGCTTGGATGCTTTTCTTCAGTTATTCTTACATTTTCTAGTATCGTTTGATATGGAATGCGCCCATCTCATGCAGGTCTGGATTTCTCTGGAGCTATTTTAAAGAATGGTCTGTAGACTTTCGACTCGCTTACTAAATATCTGCATAACTTCTTTGTGTAAAGCGTGGCAGTTAGAAAAGGCGGAAGTGGTTTTAATTGATGGTATACGACTAGGGTATCTCCCAGATGTGGTAACTTATAATACATTGATTGCTGCCTATTGTCGATTAGTTGGAGTTCATGAAGCATACACAGTTCTTCGTAGAATGAGGGAAGCTGGGATAAACCCGGATGTCATTACTTACAATGCTTTGATTGCGGGTGCTGCTAGGTATCGCTTACTACCACTATGTCTCGACCTGTTCGAAGAAATGCTTCAAAATGACATCATTCCTGATGTATGGAGTTACAATACTTTGATGAACTGTTTCTTTAAATCTGGACAGCCGGTGGAAGCTAACAGAATCTTCCGCGATATGATCCTAAGCAATGTTTCTCCATCTCCAACTACATATAACACCATGATTGATGGCCTATGTAAAGCAGGTTATAGTGTTAATGCCCTTCGGTTATTCAGGAGCTTACAACGGCATGGATTTCTTCCCCAGTTAGTAACATACAATATACTTATTAATGGACTTTGCAAATCGGGTAAGTTAGGGGAAGCGAGAATGATCTTGAAGGAGCTTGGCGAATCTGGTCATGTCCCAAATGCCATAACTTACACTTCTGTTATGAGATGTTGCTTTAGACATGGGAAATTCGAACAGGGGTTTGAGATTTTCTTAGAGATGAAGGGTAAAGGTTATACTTTTGATTCTTTTGCATATTGTACAGTAATCAGTGCTTTGGCTAAGATGGGTAAGCCAAAAGAGGCTAATGATTACATAGAAGAAATGTTGAGGACTGGCTTTGGGCTTGATATAGTGTCCTATAATACTCTGATTAATTTGTACTGTAAAGAGGGCAAGCTGGAAACTGCATTTCAGTTGTTGTATGAGATAGAAAAATGTGGGATGCAAAGTGATGAATACACTCACACAATCCTAGTTGATGGATTATGCAAGATAGGTGACATTGATGGGGCCCAACGTCACTTGGAGTATATGAAGAGGATGGGATTTGAATCAAACTTGGTGGCATGTAACTGCTTGATTCATGGGTTATGTAAGGTGGGTAAGGTGGATTATGCAATGAAGGTATTTGAAAATATGGAGCTAAAGGATTCTTTTACCTATGATTCCCTAGTTCATGGTCTTTGCAAGGCAAGGAAGTTCCTTTTAGCATCCAAGCTCCTGCTTTCTTGCCTGAGAAAAGGTATGAAAGTTCTTAGTTCTACCAAACGGGCTGTTATTGCTGGTCTTCGTTCTTCAGGACTTAGAAGGGAGGCAAAAGAGCTCCGGTCAGCAATTTGGATGGCTAGGATTTTACATTGGTGAGATAGGTTATAGTGCAAACAAGGGGGTGGAAAAAGGGTATATTGGGTAGACTCGGCAATATTACATGAAAGTCATTAGAGGAGTGAATAATCTCAGTATATTCCATTTAGCTTCTTTATTGCAATGGTTGATCAATGAAGTTGCTTTAAGTTGATGGAGATACAACTGAACTCCATTAAAATGGATTAAATGGCTAATCAAGTTTCTCTAACTCTCCATATGATGTGGATGCTCTTCATGGAGTTTACTGCTGTTGTAATGTAAGAAATTCATTCTTTTGAACCAATATGCATTGCTGTCTGGAAACATTTAATATTAATCTTTGTTATCATTTTGACATGTCAATTGATTGTTTCAGACCACTAAGGACCTGACTTTCCTTTTGCTTGTTCTCAAAGAGAAATTTGTGTCAAATCTTCTCCATGTGAGTATTGCTTTGACCTCAACTTGAAGTATTATTTTGTGATTTTATATTTTCTAATCTATTATTTTGGGCTCAATAAAAAGGGATAAACCTTGCAAATACACAGTACAGAACATACACATGAAAAAACCATAAAAAGTAGAGTATTCAATTTTTCTTTTTGTTCATGCATGGTTTGTTTATTTCTGTATTGATGAGAGACTACTTAAAAATATGTATGACAATGACTACAAATTCTTCCAGTGGTGAAGGTTATATTACATCTGTCTGCAATTGACTCTATGGATGAAAAGCAAGAATAAAAACTTGCTACCTCTTATTCTATTTTTATTTTCACCAATAAAATATGCACATCCTTACTGCTTATCTAGTTACTGCCATGTGAAATAATAACAGAGATAACAGATGATAACAGATGAAGTACAAATGAAATAATAACAGAGATTACAGATGAAATAATAAATAATTACAGAGGTTTTATTAAATAAAAGATGAAGTACATGAGAAAGAGAAGATAGCAGAGATTTTTCCATAATCCACGTCAAATTTTAAGCCACCATTCGTTGTTGCTTGCACCAAGTGATATTGGTCATTAGAGGCAGCAATGTTTCAATCTTAAAGTGCCCTAGATGAAGGTCAGTGGTTGCATGTGGACTTATATGCTGAAACTTGTTCCATGAATGAAGGATATAGAGAGGAGCACACGGAGTCTTTTCAGTTCAGGCCCATACTTATGACACCGTATGGCATATTCCTAGGTCATTTGAATCCTTTTCTGTAAGATTTGTATAGAAGTTGGATGCTGTAGCTGTATGATAACAATACAAGGGCGTGTAATTATTAGTTGAGTTGGAAGAGTCTCGAAGGAATTTTTTTTTTGATAAGAACAGTCTCAAAGGATATTGGACCTTTTACTTCTGGTTGCCATTTTTCTGCAGTCATGTTGTTTGGTGTTCTAGGTATGAAGTTTAGAGCCATATCTGAACTGGGTAACAGAATCTGAAAAATCTCCTAGTGGTTGGTCATGCCTATTAAGAAGGAAGTTGCTTAATATCTAGAGACTGGAAATGGTATATCATTTATTCTTTTTATCAGCAACAGTAATAAGCAGTTTTATTTTAATGTAGAAAAATCTGAGAACCAGGAACCTCGATACCTTAAGTGTTTAGATCAAAGGGAAAATGTCTTGACTCTTGAATGACTACCATAGTTATCAAGGCGACGCCTAGGCAACAAGGCACCCTTTGAGGCTCGCCTCGCCTTTTTTTTTGATAAATAACATCAATTCCATTAAAATAATGAATAGATACAAGAAGATTCCCTTAGAGGCGCGAGGAGCAGCCTCTCCAAACAGCA